GGAGCCAGGCTGATTGGGGGTGTGTGCGCTGACTTAGAAAAGCCAAGGATGGGAAGGGACCCAAGCCAAAAGTGGCCTTTTGTCATGACCAGACAACATGGCATGGCCATCCGTGGGGGTCCCTGCACGTCTCCCCGTCTGGATGTCATCGGTGTCTCTTCCCTGAAGCACCCCCCACCCGGCGCCCTTCCTGCCCAGGCCGCGTGTGACTGTCCCCTCTCTCGGCAGGCTCCATCACCTTCGTGGGACTCTACCTCGTCTTCGGCTATGGCGCCTCACTGCTCTGCAACCTCATCGGCTTCGCCTACCCTGCCTACGTCTCGTAAGTGCCGTGCCGGGAGCGCGCCCTCGTTCCAGCCTTGGTGCCTTTGCTTTCTGCCCGAGGAGAGGGCAGGTCTGCTGGCAGTCTCTCCTTGCTGGGGGCTTCGACGGGGGGTCCCACGGGGCCCTACACGGAGGCCCAGCTGCAGCCGCGCACAGTGGGAGGAGTAGCTGGGCGGGCGTACTTGCCTGCAAGCCGGAGAAACCCTGTGCTAGTGATGGTGGCCTGGCAGAATCAAATGCTAAATGCCGGGGATCTGGGGGACACTTCCCTGCAGGGTTGTTCCAAGCACAAACACGGAGATCCACTGGGTTTGGCCCCAGGGCGGGTGTGGGCTTTGTCTCCAGCCCCTTCCCCTTGGAGCAATGTCCTTTGGGCAGTGGGCATTCGAGCGGGCACCCACAACGGGTGCCCAAAGACCCTAGCAAGCCTTGAAGCTCCTGGCTATAGCATGCCCTCCGCCAGCCCTGTGAGGTGGGAGATGCAACAGCATCTCTGTGCTCCTCAGCATCAAAGCCATCGAGAGCTCCAGCAAGGAGGACGACACCACGTGGCTGACGTACTGGGTGGTGTACGGCGTCTTCAGCGTGGCCGAGTTCTTCTCCGACATCTTCCTCTACTGGTTACCGTTTTACTACTTTGGAAAGGTAACGCGGGGAGGCACGGCAGGGCTTGTAGGAGGGGAATGGCCCTGGGAGCACAGAGATGGGGATGGAGCCACTGG